ATTAATCAAGAAAATGCCTCCACAAACTTGTCTACGGGCATTCCCATGGGAGCATTTTCTCAGTTGAGATTCCCTCTTCCCCCTGGACTCTAGCTTGTGTGAAGTTCACAGGAAGAAAGAAAGAAAGAAAGAAAGAAAGAAAGAAAGAAAGAAAGAAAGGAAGGAAGGAAGGAAGGAAGGAAGGAAGGAAGGAAGGAAGGACCCTAAATAGCACAGCTGACTAACAGAAGTCAACACTATAACCATGTGAAAAGAACTGCAATGAACCACACACTCTTCTTGCTGTAATACCCTTACTAGCAGAAAGGTATGAAGCAGACTCTGTTACCATAACTACACAAGTCCAAAGTACATGGAGGGCTGGGTTAGCAAAGAAAGGATAGAAGGTGGATAGATAGATAGATAGATAGATAGATAGATAGATAGATAGATAGATAGATAATAAATATATGATAGAGAGATAGACAATAGATAGATAGATAAATAGATAGATGGTAGATAGATGATAGATAGATAGATAGATAGATAGATAGATAGATAGATAGATAGATAATAAATATGAGAGTGAGAGATGGACAAATAGATGATAGATAGGCAGGCAGCTTTTTTTAAGGTTTAATTTTAGTGTCCTTATTTTAGAATTTAAATTTCCTATGTGAGCATGCACATTCAACAACAACAAGGAAATGTATTAGCATAAAAGTTCCAGAAATGTATCAGGATTTGGGCTTTGGCCCATCATTTCATGAAGCATGGAAGAGTAATTTAAAGTTTTGAAAAAACTTAACAAAGTTACTGTTTATGGTATTTATAAGAATCAAAGCTCCAAGGATTCAGGTTGAGTTAATTCATATAAATCTAGAAACAAGAAAGAGGAAACACATAAATCTTATAAGCGCATATGTTACAAAATGGAAACTGAGATCGTTTTTTTAACTGCATGAAACGGACTCCTTTGGGTCCAATCATCAGTTTTAATTCTGAGGCTCTCTTAAATACTATGTTTATTGACTCTTTGGGACCAATGCCTCAGTAGCAAGAAATGTAATGATGTTTTAAAGTGTACGCCGGGACACCTTGTGCTCTGTTGTGTCCTCCATGGCTCTGAAGAGGAAAATAATCAAAGGGATGAATCTGTGCTATAAAAAGGAATTTACTAGATCAGTTTACACAGTGGGAGATTGACAGCCATCTACACACCGGAGAACCTGGGAGGCCGGGAGCTGCTCCGTCCATGAGGCTGGGTGCTCGGCGGTTCCAATCAGGCCTGAAGGCTTGGATGATTCCTGGGAAGCTTCTAGTCTTTCATCCACATTGAAAGGCCAAACTGCAGTCTGATGTCAGAGGAGGGTGGAGGTGGGAAGCAAGGAGGGGACCAGCTTTGCGGTGCTGCTTCCTGTCTGAGCTGTGGCTCTCTGCCTGCTGCTCATACCTAAGTCATACCTCCCCACATCTGGGCACGAATCTATCAGAACCAGCCCCTGCCCACTGGCCCTTGGATCCTGACCCATCCTTGACATGTTGGGGGAATCTTCCAGTGTCTCCAGATAGCTGTTCTAAGCACCTCCCCTTCCTCCCCTGGTCTACTTCCCTCCATGAGATCACTTCATCGTTGCCAGCCCCCCTCCCCCTCCACCTTGTAGCTGCTGAGAGTGTGTGGCATGGCACGGAGGGCTGAGTAAGGCCCATGTGTAGGGCAATCAGCCACAGATCACCACTTCCTCCCAGGAGCTAAGTCAGAAGAGGAAACACCAAGCTAAGGCGGGTCTGCCAGAGAAGTCCCCAGGACAAGCTGATTAGGAGCTGAAGAACCCCCAGCTGAGCCGAGGCCTCCAAGGAGCCAAGCGGTGAGTGGGGGCCCTGTCCCTGTGGCTCTTACAGAGGATACCTCAATGTTAGTCTTTTCTAAGCAGCGGGAGACCTGCCCTAGCCCTGGTGAGGATCCTGTGGCCTCGCTATGACCCCAGTCCAGGGAGTCTGAAGGAAAACTGTTCCAAGACTACCATGTAAAGGCCCTATAGTAGGAGAGGCCCCTTGAAACCTTCAGGAAGAACCATGGGAAGGCTAGGAACACCTAGAGCTGAGAACATGAGGTCAGGCTGGTGAAGAATAAGCATAGATGCACAGGCCTCCAGCTTTGGTTCCAGGATCTTATACACTATTTGGGCCTCCAGAGACATGGCGGCTGCCAGACCAAGCAGAGACGGGATGATCCTCTTATGGGGAGAGCTTCCTAACCCCAGGCTGGAAATGGAGGGTCCAAGAAGGACTGGAGCTCTGGGGGAAGTTCTCAGGGCTATGTGCAGGAGCCAGCTGTGTCTGCCTCTATCTGCCTCTTCACACCTCTAGGCCTGATAAATCTACTTCCAGACTCACCTGTGTGAGAGACGGTGGGTCTGTTTGTGTGATATGTGTGTCTGTGCACATGCACATGGGTCTGTGTGAAGTGTGCTGATATGCACATGCATGCTTGTATGTATGTACAATTATGTCTGTGTGGTGCATGTGTGTGTGTGTGTGTGCGTGTGTGTGCCCGCACATGTGTCTTCCCTAGTGGTGTCTCCTGAATCCCTGGTGCTCAGGCTTTAAAAGGCCTGGCCTGGTAGACGTCACACTTGGTTAGCATTGTGCTTAAGGGAACAAAACTAGTGTGGGATTCTGGTTCAGGTAACCCTAATCTCTCCACCATGGTCAGGTTCGTTCATAAGAGCTGTTCTCAAGGTCGCTGGCAGACGAGAGGGCAGCTGAACTCATGCCTCTGAATCCCAGGGCTCCCCTTGGATCTTCTAGGATCTGAGCGCTGTGGCCTGCCCCTTGCCCAGCCGCCATCTCCACCCAGAGCTTACCGACTGTGGGGCTGGGTACCTGTACTGCTGTCCTTTGATGAGTGGAAGGAAGGACAGCATCCACAGCCTCCACCTCCTGTGGTGGCTGAAGCAGCAGTCGTGACAGGGGAGGACTGTGGTGAACGGTGAGAGCAGCAGGGTAGCCATAGCACCAACCACCCCCCTGGAACAGTGACTCCATGCTTGTGACATGGAGGCCAGCACCAGACTAGGAGCCGTGGGTGAATGGAGAGAAGAGCTGCTGAGGACGCTGGGATGCTGTCATCAGGTCCACCTCCCAGAAAGGGTATAGTGCAAACCGAGGCTGTGTGGGAAAGCATGGCCAGCTGGCAGAGGGAACACTGTGGAAACCAATACCCTGGGTTGTCCCTGACCCCAGTGGGCCTTCCATAGCCTCACTCCTGCTCATAACTTGGTACCACAGGTCTTATCATTTCCTGTGGGCGAGAGATGTAGACATGGGCTGGAGGCAGGCCTCTGAGATGCTCAGATCCGGCCGATATGAGATGCAGAGACCTCTGAGCCTGAGAGGCGCGCTGCTGCTGTTATAGAAGCTTCCAGGCATAGGGTTCTTCTGTCCCAGCCCCAGGCAGGGCTCTCTTGGTGCTCTAGAGTCTGAGAGTATAGTCAGCTTCGGGAAAGTAGTTCTTCCCAGCTGGCTTTTAAGTGGCATCTTTTGTGTCCGGAACATTTGGAGTGGAAACTCAGTAGAAGTGGGGGCAATGTAGATGCTGAGGGACCAGTAGAGGCAGAATCCAGTAATCCTTAAGGATAGCCTAGATGCATCTAGTCTTTTACCAGGAGAGACCGAAAGGCACTTGCTAGAGGGATGAGTGGGTGAAAGAGTGAACAAGAGCCATCCAGGGATTGATGGAGCACGGCGGCCACCGCCATGGTCTAATCCTCCCCAGGATTGTATGTGGTGGGAACAACAGAGCCAGTGGGTTGTGGAATCGGCAGTCTCAGGCAGTGCGTTAGCTACTACAGAACTGAGAGCTCTTCTAAGACCGGCCATGGATCAAGACAATGAAAGACTCCAGTGTGGAACGGGGAGGGGCTTCCAAGGCCCCACCCTGTAGTTTTGGCAGTTGATAGCTGTCATGGGAGGGAGAGTCATTCTTCTTTGCGGGGGAGCATGGTTCCAAAAGATGACAGCAAGGCCACATGCATGTGAGAAGCACGAGCTGAATTCAGTGGGTTCAAAATAATAAATCATTATTTAATTTTAAATAAATAAATATTATTTAATTATTTAAGAATTCTTTAATAACTCTTAACAGCAGTTAAGACTGCTTGCTGCTCTTCCGGCAACCCCAGTTCAGTCTCCAGGGCACACATGAGACAGACAATTTCTGTAATACCAGCTCCAGGGGATCAGACACCCACTTCTGGCTACCTTGAGCTCCCACACACATGTGGCATGCATATATGTAAGCAAGGACACATGAATTTAAAAATTATGTAAATATTAAATAATGGAGGACATAAAGTTGGGAGGGAAATGCGGGCATAGGCTAAGTGGAGGTGGATGTGATTAAGTTACATTGCATACATTATGAAATGCTCATAAATAAAAATAACCTTATTCTTAAAAGATGTCATTATATACATCTATATAGAAAACTGGAAGGCACAGACAGGATTACTGGAGAAACTGAGAATACTGGTGATGGAGTAGCTTGTCCCTACCTGGAGCACTGGATCTCAGAACGGTGTCCCAATGCCCTGGTTCTCATCTGCTCCCCTAATTCCCTGGTTCTCATCTGCTCCCCTAATGCCCTGGTTCTCATCTGCTCCCCTACCCCGGGTCTTTTGTGAGTGAAAAGGCAGAAGTGATTCCACCTTGGCACTGGGCTTCCATGTAAAGTACTGAGTGGGCTGTGATCATCACAAGGCTTTAATTTTGTTTTCCCTCAGACAAGGTGTCGTGGGTTGCCGCTTGCTCTCCCTTCAAACCCACCCTGGGGCTCTGCAAGTTTTTCCCTGCTCACCCCTGTAACATCTTGACACAGGTATCTCTCCCAGGGAGCCTCGGGCTTCTCGGGACTGGGTGGAGGGTTCAGCAACTGGGAGAACTTTGCAACAGGAAGTCATCCCCCTCTTCTTGCTGGTCTCAGCCTCCTGCCCTCACTGTACATTACATGGGAACACGTAATGTAGATGGGATTCATTTCCCCTCCAACGCATTCCTCAGGTCCCATAGCCCAGGTGTTTGCAGCTTGATTTAACCCAAAATAAGGTCTTCATTCGATGCCTGTGTTTGGTGCCAGGGGAGGGCACCCGGGTCCTCAACAGAATCTCCACAGAAGGAAACTTACCAAAGCCCAAAGCAGGGGCTGTGGTAAGCTTCACCACTTCCTGAGAGAGTGCTGGGCTGTGCCACCAGTTCCCCAGGGAGAAAGCTGGCTTTGCTACAGACTTCTGGTGAGTTGGTGGGTCCTGAGTTTCCTAGTGTGGTCGCTTTCAGGGTCTTTTGGAGTGCCTGCCTGTCACCAGCCTGCGAGACGAGTCTCCCAGGCCATTCTTTGTAATAACCACAGGGTTCACATAAGCAAGGAACGATGTGGGGGTGGGAGGTGTCACCACCGCCACCCTGGCAGGCTACCTGTCATCAGGTCATTGGGACACTGCATCTGTGGGTTAGTCTTGCTGTAACCCAGGCCCCTTCCTGTTCTCTGGACAGTGTGGGGTACACGAGGTCCATATCCATCCTGTTCAAATTTCCCTATCAAAGGGTACAAGAATATTCATGCTGCCACCGGTGTTTTGTTTTGTTGGTTTGGTTTGGTTTTTGTAGGAGGAAGGGGGAGTCCAGTTGGTATGCTTAGAAAGAGAGCAAATCTAAGTTAGGAGGTATCCACCCAGAGCTGGTGTGATCTACTCAGTAACTAAGTCTGGCCAGAGACAACTAGTCAACCCTGAAACTGCCCACTTCCAGACACCTCAAGGACAGGTTGGAGGCTGGGATGGAGAACAAGCAGTGGCCTACAGTCACACATGTATAGCTCCCAGCACTACCAGGACAGACAGAGTCTCAGCTTGTAGCCCAAGTTCCATCCTTGAAGTCTCGGCCTCAGCAGCATGGAGCACACATAGCGTTTATAACATGCAGTGTCTGTGTTGAGAGATAGCACATGGTGTGTGTATGTGTGTGTGTGTGTGTGTGTTGCATATGTCTGTATATATCACCTACAGTGAGTATTGTGTCTTCCGCACTTGGTGCCCCCCAGCCGCTTCAATAGGCCTGTGGCTCCTCACTTTCTCCTTCCCCGAGCCTGGTGACACTGGTGACTGACTTTGCGTGGAACCTGTCTGATTCTTACACCCTGAGGTATCAGGGACTAGATCCCCTCCACCCTCAGCAGCCCTGCGTTTCAGACAATCCAGAAGGGGCTCTGTCGGTGGTCAGCCTTGACTCACCAGGTCGTTCCCTCCACAGGACATGCTGGGCCGGCACCCCCTGCTCCTCATCCTAACTGGGCTGCTCTCCCTGGGATCTGGTGAGCTCTATCATGAGGTGTTCTGGAAAGAACAGACACACCCCAAGGACATCGCTCAACTCACAGAGCCACACGGGGCTTCCAGTCCTGACCTGACCTCTCCTGTGCCCCTCCCCCTCCCCCCTGTTGACTCTGGGGTAGCTGGGATGGGCAGGGCAGAACTTACTCACCCAACTGTCTCCCCAGGCCTGTCCCAGCTGTGTACCAGGGACAGAGTGAGCACCTGTCGGGACTGCATCAGGTCAGGGCCTGGCTGCGCCTGGTGCCAGAAGCTGGTAAGAACCCCATGAGTTGATGGGCGGAGTATAACATCTATTCATTCTCTCTGTCTCTCTCTCTATTTCTCTCTCTGTGTGTATCTCTCTCTGGTCTTCACCCTCCCCCATGACTGTCGTTCTCCTCTCTGTCTGTCTGTCTCTCCTTCCTTTCCTCCCCTCAATGCATACATGCATCTCTATCTTGCTCAATATTCTGTAACTATCATTTGCCCAATGAGGTTTCAGTGTCTCAAGCCTGCCCAGGGGCCCCTCTGGTTGTTCTGAATTTCTTCAGAATGACTCTCCCCATTTTTTTTTAAATACATTGAGGGTGGTGTGTGTGTGTCTGTCTGTCTGTCTGTCTGTCTGTCTGTGTGTCTCTCTCTGTATGTTTGTGTCTGTGTGGGTATGTGTGTCTGTGTCTCTGTACGTGTGTCTGTGTGCTTGTGTGTGTGTGTGTGTGTGTGTGTGTGTGTGTGTGTGATATAGGTCTATGTACCCATGCACACAAGTAGAGTACAGAAGCGGACTTCAGTCTCCGCCTATTCCTTCTCAATTCCTAGAGCCAAGCTGGTGGCCAGAAGTGCTTATGCTGGGATACAGGCCCATGCGGCATTTATTTGCGTGTAGATGCTGGGGATTTGAACTCCAGTCCTCAGTGCTAGAGGGAGTAGTTCAAGGGCAGTAAAGGGCCTCCAGCTCGTAGCTCTGCCTGATCTGGAGCCCTCGAGGAGACCAAGGTTGTTTCAAGGCCAGATATTCCTTGGGTAGACTGCCCCCATCCACAGAGGTTTCTATGCCAAACTGTAATGGCAAGTGAAGAGGAGATAGGCTGGGATCTTTAGTTCCTATGGTCCGTCAGCTTCCTTGTGACACTAACCTGGGGAACTGGTCCTTTCCCCAGAACTTCACAGGCCAAGGGCAGCCAGAGTCAGTCCGCTGTGACACTCCAGAGCAACTGTTGTTAAGGGGATGCACATCTGAGTACCTCGTGGACCCCAAGAGCCTTGCTGAACCCCAGGAGGACAAGGACAGGGACCAGAAGCAGCTGTCCCCGCAAAATGTGACGCTTTACTTGAGACCAGGTAGGCTTGAACTTGCCTGGGGCGGACCAGGCACAAGGTGTTTACAGGAGCTCGGCCAGCATCCCCCGCGTCACTGTGGTTCAGTTTATTTTCCTGACAGTGCTGAGATTCCTGACAGAGGCAGCTCAAATGAGAGAGAGTTTGACTTACAGTTCAGGGGTACAGCCCATCATGGTGGGGGAGGCACAGCAGCGGGAGCCTGACATCCACAGTCAGGAAGCAGAGGGTGATGTATACATGCCGCTGCTCAGCTCTTACGCAACTCATAGGGCACAGGATCTCCCGCCCACGGTGGGCAGGTCTTCCCACCTCAGCTGGCAGACACAGGACAGTCACGCACAGGTTAAACCTGAGGCCTTTCTCCCAGGTGATTCTATATTGTGTAAGGTGGACAGTTAACACTCGCCATTGCAGGGTGTGTATCCAGGTTGGCCTGAAGGCTGCTGGGAAGACTGATGTCCAATCTCCAGACACCTGAGCTCCGAAATACCCACAGGAGACTGAGGCAAGAGACATACTTGAATTCAGGGGTTGATTCAAGGGTAGACACACACACACACACACACACACACACACACACACACACACACTAACCACACACCATGTACATCATAATTGCATTTTTAATTAAAAATGCTGAGGTTCTCCACACATAGCTCTACCTCTTGCTAACTCTAAGCAAGCAAATCTCCCCCAGCCTCCATTGTCTGCTGTCTACACTGGATGCCTGGTCTCTTTTTTAACCCTGTGCTGGTTTTGTTCTGCTTTGCTTTGGTGTTGAGAAGAGAGAACAAACCATTTGGAAAATACTGTTGCGTTCACTCTCAGAAGGCCCAGTATTCTTGAAAGAAGAAGGGCCCTGATGAATCCTGCAACTGAGAAACTATTTAAACCAGTCTGCCCAACAGATGATGTGACTGTGGCCACAGCAAGTGTTTCGGAGCACAGGCCCCAGTGTTGATACCAGGCCTGGCCGCAGGGAGCCAGGGTAGTAAATCCAGCCATGGGCAGAAGCAAAGGGCTTGTGTGGGCTGGCTCCGCAAGCTGATTAACTCACCCATAAGACATCCTGCTCATGGATCTGGAGAATGGAAGCCCAAAATCAGGGTGCTGGAGCTTGCTGGGTTCCTCAGAAGCCACTTCAGCCATCTGTCCGGTGTCCCCACATGGCAGGAAGAAGCACGAGAGTTTTTGGTGCCCTCTCCCTTTTAAGCAGGGCCTCTCTATGAAGCCCACACTGATTTCCAATTCACAGAGATTTTTCTGCTCTGTCTCCTAAGTGCTGAGGTTAAAGGTGTGCACCACCAGGCACAGCTATCGGTCCCTTTTCAAGGATGCTATCCCAGGCAGCAATGATGGAAGAAACTGGGAGGACCGAGGTGCTACTGGAGAGAACAGTTCATGTGCAACCCCCGCTCAGTACCAGTGTCCTAAGACAACACAGCCCAGTAGAGACACCCTTCTCCTTCGCAGGTCAAGCGGCAGCATTCAACGTGAGCGTCCAGCAGACCCAGGTCAACTCTGTTGACCTGTACCTCTTGATGGCCATCTCTGACTCCATGCAAGGCCATCTTTCCAATGTCCAGACACTGGGCAGTGACCTGCTCCAAGCTCTCAATGAGATCACCAGATCAGGCCATATTGGTGAGGTCCGCAGCCACCGCAGGGATCTGTCTCAGCATTTCCCATATCCTGGGCAACCCCGTCCCCACACACCAGAGGCAGAGACCTGAGAGCTGCCGCTGGGGAGTTCTCAGGGCATCACTGTGGGTGGAGCGGGCCTGCATCCCCTCCAGGGACCATGCCCAGTCACTAACCACAAGATTCAGCCCTCCACTGGTTCTTCTTTTCTCTCTCACTCCTCTCTTGGTAAGATCAAAAGACAGAAGTGCTAATTTCTAAAAACAAGTAAACATCAGATTAGGTCGACAAAGTAACCATTGTAGCATAAAGGCCGTGATCACAATGAGCGGCAGGTCAAAGGGTCAGAGCTCCATAAACACCAACAGGTTCACAGAGAATAAGGCTTGGGTGCTTGCATGTGTGATGTGTGCACAGCTCCACGAGTCCTGGCTTCCCCCAAACAGCACTCTCTTCCCTGAAGAGTGATGTACTCCCTCACACTTGGACATCTGTGTTCACATTCATGCACCTGTATGTGTGTGCATAGCCACATCCACACCCACAGGCATGCTCACACATGTATAAGACCACATGTGCACACACATTCTCAAATACATACAGTGACACAGGTGAACAATTTATTTCCACACCTGGACATGCTCACATTCATATAGGAACATACTTATGTAAACTGTGTTCAGACGTATACATGATTTTGAATGCTCACATGTATGCACAGGAACTCCCACAACATGCATACTCAAACACACACATCCACCATCCTGTTTTCTCCCTTGTTTTACTATAAGGCAGGGAAACTAAGGTTGTGTCCAGTTATCTCCCTCCACCTCCTACCACCACAGCCTCCCAACCTCACCTGTCCTCCTTAGGTTTCGGATTCATCAGGAACATGACCTTCCAGCACATCCTGAAGCTGACCGATGACTCCAGTCAGTTTCAGAAGGAACTGGCGAAGCAACTGGTTTCTGGAAACCTGAATACTCCCAAGGGACAGCTGGATGCTATGGTGCAAGTCGCCACGTGCCTGGTGAGCCTACCAAGCCCTTCTGAGGTCTGAAGACTTCTGGGGTGCGGCAAGCTATTGTACCAGCCATGTTCTCTCAAAGGGTCAAGTCGATGGCCCCTTTGCTGGCTGTCAGCCTGAGAGGAATAACCCTCACTAGCCTTCTCAAGAGCCACAGGAGGTGGCTGGGAGGGAGAGAGGGAAGAGGGCAAAGGAACCTGGGAGATTATCTGCAGATTTCACTATTATCTATGATGCCTAACCCTCCTGAAGCCTAGAACTTGTCAAGTGATCATGGTAACCTGGGCCTCATCCTACACATCCTGAGTCAGGGGTCCACTCTCACCTCCAAGGCAAGACACCAGTCCCTGGCCAGAGTTTGCGCCCACGACCCCTCTCACCCACACACCCGTCCCACACCTGCCCCAGGCTGTCTCTTTAGGTCACTGTTGCAGGAAGCTAACTGTGCCCTGGCTCAGCTCTTTTCTCACAGCTTTCTGGCCTCCCTGGAGCCCTGGACCAAACCTTCCTGGGTGCAAGCACACACTCCTTTCTGGGGATTCTCCAGGAAGATGCAGTTCCCCTGTGGTCCCTGTATTCACACTTGGGATTTGCCTGTCGTGATGGACACCACAGATTTTGGGGGGATGTTTTGGGGAGCCCAGTCCTGGGTCTGGAGGGATGGTCTATAGAAGTGTTGCCTATTGGGAAGTAGATATGCATTTCATGTCCCCTCACCTCACACTTTGGGCATCTTAGCAGACACACCCCAGACTCAATCTCAACTCCCTCTTTCTGCTGTCTGGCTGCTGTGAAACCCCAAAGCAAGAGGGGCAGGCTCCAGGCTGCCACACCTGGCTCCCAAGGTGGCCAGCGGAAAAAGTACAGTGGGTAACTCCAGGCCATTTGTTTCTCAGAGAGAAATCGGTTGGCGTAATGGGACACGGTTTCTGGTGCTCGTCACAGACAACGATTTCTACTTGGCTAAAGACAAGAGTCCGGGTACCAGACAGAATTTCAGCGATAGCCACTGTCACTTGGAAGATGGTGTGTTCAAGAGCAGAAGAGAGCCTGTGAGCCCCTTCCTTCCCTGGCATTGTCTGAGGCTTAGCCCTGCAGGACACAAGACAGGAACCCAAACAGGGGGAAAAACAGGACTGTTATAAACTTGCTCCCTCATACCAGCCAGGTCAGGATCACACAGGGTCACCTCTCCAGAGCCTTAAATACCTCTTTCCAACCTAAGAAACAAATTCAAGAAAAACTCCGGAAGCTGTGAGTGGTCCTATTAGGTCTCGGATATCAACCTCAGGCCAGAGCACAGCAGCAGGACACCAAGACATACTGAAGAGAGTCTCCCCTATTCTGCAAGTCAGCAGGGGAGTCACAAAGGAATATGAGATGGGCTGGAGGGCTAAAAGGAGCCACTGAGAAGAACAGTCCCTAGGGGATGGAGTGGGCTAGGAGGAAGGGCCCTGCAGGCAAGCTGCAGCAGGACTAATGGTAACTTTGAATCAGAGTCTGGAAGAGAGGACAATGAAGACCCCCCTCCCTGAGTCCCAACCTAGCACGGCAGCCATGGGTCCCTGTTAGAGTGGGGTCTAATAGAGCCACAAATGAGCGGATGTGGGTTAGAAGGAAGGCTGAGAAAATGCCAGGAAGGATTAGAGGAATCCCAGGTCTGCACCAAGAAACCAAGCACAGAGCAACTTTTGGTGTTTTCTTAACTGTCTTTCAGTACCATTCATTTCTGCTGAATTCTGTTCACATATTTGCACGCCTTGTTCAGATAAGGTGCTACCACAGGACAAGGGGGATATCATAGTCCTCAGAGCCGTAGGCCACTGGGTGGCCTGACGGGATCTCCCTTCTCCCCAGGACGACCATTCAGTGCTCCAGCTGGCAAGGAAACTGGCTGAAAACAACATCCAGCCCATTGTCATGGTGCCCTCGAGGATGGTGAAAACACATGAGGTAAGAGAGGTGGGTCTTGACCAAGAGCGGCAGGCATTTCAGTTGCAGGGTGAGGAAGCCCAGCGTCCTTGCAGAATCACCGGAGTCCTGCTTCCACTTGCCAGAGTAAGGGCCTGAGACCAGAATGAGACACACGTCCAGCAGTCTGAGACGAGGAGGATGGCCATGATCTATTTGTCTGATGACCAGTTCTTCTGGGTCAGCAGGATGCCTACAGGAGAACCTCAGAGCTATGGTCTACAGTGGGAAAACTTGGGACCTCAGCCTCCTCCTCTATGAGGACTGCTCCAGGGACCCCTAAGCTGATCCATCTAGTTAATTCAGAAAGCAGCTGCCCCAGTAACAAATTCTTCTCATCTGAGAGTGACATCAGTGTCCCCTGACATCATCCATCCTCATAGGCATACACATGAGTATTCAGGTTGACTCCCCTTGTGCCTGAACTCTCTGAAGCTGTGTGGCCTTGCACAACAGCCGGGTGCAGGGCTGGGTTGAGTGTGAACATGAATCTTGGGGGAGGAAACTCTACAATGGCTGGGAAGTTGGCTGTTGCTGGATGTGCATTGCTGAATGCGGACTCAGGGTTGGGTCACATCACAGGTCTCAGGCAAGCCTTGGTTGCCAAGACAACAGGAAAACCACACTTCTTGCTGTTAGGTTTCCAGGCTCCAGAGAAGGGAAACTACCCTGCAGAGACAACGAGAGGACAGGTGGCAGCCTGGAATACTGCCATCACATCAGTCACGGAGAACAGTGGCTTGGCTCTGCACAGGTTGCCAGCTAGCGTAACAAAGAGGAGACCACTCCATAGTCAGGATGTCACAGCCCCTGTGTCCTCATCTGTGACTGGGCTATGACAATCCCCTCCTCACAGAGCCCACACGCAGCGTGGTGACAAGGAAGGAAGCCACAGATAAAAGACCTGAGGCCCACCACTTCCTTTACCCTGAGAGGTCATTGGGCTTCATAAGGCTCAGTTCTTGAGAGGTTGGTCAATGCCTCAGGGAGCACATGAGAATGTTACACACAAGACCCTTCTCTGTGGATGCTTCTGGACTTAGAAGAAAGCAACTTTCATAAACTGGACAAGGCAGAGCCCAAATTTCCTGGTGGGCTGATCCCATAGCCAAGACAAATGACAATGTTTGAGTTGACGAGCTCAGAGAGGTTTGGTGGCCTGGATGTAAAAAGCCTACTGTGCTCCCAGAGAAGGCAGACTCCATTCTAGGGACAGTGCGGGATAGAGAAGTGTCTATCCTGACTGTCAGTAGGATTTATCTGGAGAGGGTACAACATTCCCTTTCCTTGAATGACACTAGGCAGCTGTGGGGAGGATGGTGGCAGCTATCCAGGGATTCAGGCTGAGCCACCTCCAGGGACACTCTGGGAAGCAGATCAGTCCTGCCAGAACTCATTGTCACAGGGCTGTGTAACATGGTCCCCATTAAAATCAGATGGCCCAAACCCAGTAATGCTCAGGGTTTACCTCTTCCTGTGATTTTACCACTTCCTAGCCGTCTGTGCCCTTATGTGTCACGGGTATGATTTCTGTCCACCAAGATGATATGGTAAAAACATTGCCCCATGACAGGACAGGTGCGTGTTCCCCAGTCAGTGACATCACAGCTTGAAAGTGGAACTGGCTGCCAGGGGCACTTACACCACAGACACGAGCGTACTAAGATCCAGGTGTCGGCACTTGGCAGCATGCCACCGATGCTCCTTCTGTGACTCTGTGAAGTGGAGACTCAGTTGAGCATCATCCTAGCCACTTGGAAAGCTAGAGGGTCCCTCTGGGTGTCACAAGCCCTCACGAGCACGGAGGAGTTGGTGGTCCCAGGTGCCAGCTTGATCTTCTCTCCCAACAGAGACTCACCACGTTCATCTCCACGTTGGCCATCAGGGAACTTTCAGGTGACTCCAGCAATGTGACCCAGTTCATTAAGGACACCCACAGGGTGAGTCTCATGGAGTCGCTGGATGAGATGGTCTGAACTTCACAGTTAGCTGTAACATTGAGGGCCGGCTTGTTGGGGTTTCTGTCCTGCCTGGTACCCCACAGCGGGCAAGCCCCAAAGAAAATCACACAGAGATCTCCATAAGTTATAAAACTGATTGGCCCATTAGCTCAGGATTCTTGTTAACTCATGTAGCTTATATTAACCTATTGTTCTTATATATGTTAGCCACATGGCTTGGTACCTTTCTCAGCTGGGCAGATTACATCTTGCTTCCTCTGGGAAGGACTGGGAGGAACGGGCTTCCTCATTCCTAACATTCCCCTGTTCTCATTGCCCTGCCTCTACTTCCTGGTCTGGCCAATCAGCGTTTATTTAAAACATTACTGACAGAATACAGACAATTTTTCCGCACCAGTTAGCAGAGCCCTGACTTACAGAACTCTGCTGTAGCCTCCCGCAGCCCCGACAGGCACCCTACAGCCTTCTCGACAGACGTAGAGCACAGGGCAGTTCCTCTTATTGGTGAATGAATGTGTGGCTCACAGATCTCATCTGGCTCTCCCTAAAACATGAGTTCTAAGTCCTGCCCAGATGGGGCTCTCCCCTGCCTACCGCCATGGAGATAGAGGAGGGCAGGTGGCCATGGGAGAGCACATGCTGTCTCACAGGCTGGGGAGACTGCAGACATCACCTTAGTAAATTCAGATGCTGTGTAGACAGTCTTGGGAAGAAGGACCTGTCCTACTTCATTTGCTGTTACTGTGTTAAAGAGACAGCACCCACCGTGAACTGGGCCCTCCTGCATCAATTAGCAATGAAGAAAATGCTCCACAGATGTGGCCACAGGCCAGCCTGATAAGGCGATTCCTCAGCTGAGGTTGCCTCTTCCAAAGGGACTCTGGTTTGTATTAAGTTGACAGAAGCTAACCAGCACTTCCTCCTGCATGCTGGTCCCACTCCTGCCCCAGGCAAATGTTGCAGACCCTCATTCCTCATCCTCCCCTTGGTGTGTTGCCTATCCAGCTGCATCCAAATCCACACCCTCGGGGTCCCAGAGTTCTCGTAGACACCAGCGTGCACCAAATACTGCATTGCTCGGGGCTTACAGATACCGAAATCTACAAGTGACAGGTATCCTTCAATTCTGACCTAGCCTTCTGTGACCAAGCATCCTGGGATCCGCCAGCACAGTGTGTGGGGGCCCCTGTAACACTGCCGTCACTGACCATGGAGAGGTTTCATTTCCTTCTGTAGCCTTGTGAACCCCAGATGCCCCCAAGAAGCCTCTGTGCCAGGCTGCTGCTAGCTCTGCCTTTCTAGGGATGACTCAGGTGACATCATCCTTGCCCGCTCGCCAGATGCCACCTGTTCCCTTTCTCCTCCCATCTGTGCTCCGTCTCTCACATCTTCAACAGTCTGTGGCTCCTCCTCAGCTGGCCCTGGCATTCAGCAGTGAGGGGACTGTCCTCAAAGGGCTCACAGCTGTGTCGATGCTGATCTCTTACCAGTGGCCTGTCTCAGAATAAGCCATGGCATCGACGTGCTGACCTGCCCTGGCACGCTCACTGAGCTACCAATAGGTGTTTGTGTCATCAACTGGTGTGCAGAGGGGGCATAAAAAGTATAACAGTGCCACAGTACTGGGGGGCAGGGACAGCTGAAACCTCTCACCCCTGAGCATGGCTGTTCTCTGCCAACAGAGACTCACCTCCAAAGTCTTCCTGGACCACACCACCATCCCCAACACCCTGAAAGTCACCTACGACTCCTTCTGCGGTAATGGGACATCAAGTACAGGCAAATTCAGAGGGGAGTGTGACGGTGGGCAGATCAACAACCAGGTGAGCCTGGGGTTCCCAACCCAGCATGGTAGAGGGCCTACCAGGTATTTCAATAACTCAATCCCAGGGACATTTAGGAGGAAACAAAGGCTCATCTGGAGCAAGCAAATGGGAAAGCAATTGGTGGCCAGCGGCCAGACGCTTCTCCCTGTAAACATCACTTGGGAGACTGGTGCTGTCTATACAGTAATGTTAAGGAGCAGGAAGGCACTAAATGCGCAGGCCAGGAAACCCCACATCCCTCCTGGAATAGCCCAGACACACTAACAGTCATGCAATAACAGCGCCCCCTAGGGGGCAATTGCTAGACACGAAGAGAGATTAAAGAACAAGACGGATTGGGTCAGCTTTTCTGACTTCTGTTTCATTTTACCTTTTGATGGAAACATCAAGTCAGGTAAGCAGAAAAACAAACTGAGTTCTTTCCCTAACAAATATAAATTTGTTACCCAAGTTTTAATTTTTCTTTTAGCTCACACACACACACACACACACACACACACACACCCTTACACACACCCCAAACAGAATACCATCCCCTCGGGCTGGGTGATTTACATGGGAAATTGACAAATTTTATTCTAAATTTTAGATGGTGCGTTACTTATTTTTACTGACATTTCTTCTCTATCTTTAAGTACCATTGGCTTAAACTGATTTCAGATGTAGCTTGATTTTGCAAACCAGCTCCCTCTGCCACCAGCCCTGCCATCCTTGTGCCGCCTGCGTGTGCTGTCACAGCCTGGGACCCTCACCTCTATTCTGGGCTGGATAAAGAACATCACACTTCCTGTGATGTTCTATTATCTTAGCACTCTGGACACAAGGGAAAACAGTGCCCCACACGTTCAGTGTAAAAATCTCCTACTGTAATAATGAAAAACATTACCTCCCTAGTCTGATTCACAGCAGTGCTTGGATGCTGGTTAGTAAGGACTGGGGGTGGGGTGGTGTGGGGGTCGGGGCTCCCTACAGCTTGGTCCATAATCTGTCCCAAGATACTCTGCTTCAGAAAGAACCCATGCCACCCCTCCCCAGACATCACTCTGATCCCTACCAGCACCCCTGAGGTTACCCATGGTCCCTGTCTAAGCCCCACTATCCTCCTATAGGTCACCTTCCAGGTCACTGTCATGGCTTCAGAGTGCATTCAGAAGCAAGCCTTTGTCATCCAGGCCCCGAGCTCCACTGATTCGGTGACCGTGAGGGTCCTTCCCCAGTGTGAGTGCCAGTGCCGGGACTCGAGTCAGGAGCACGGCCTCTGTGGAGGCAAGGGTGTCATGGAGTGTGGCATCTGCAGGTGAGGCAGGTACCTGCAGCCCTTGGCAGTCCAACCTATGGGAAGGGTATCTATGGATGAGGTGATTGCGGACAACCCACAGCACTTTCTTCCCCTAGATAACTCCTAGGCGGCACGGTGTGAGAGGTGCTGGTGGGGAGCCTGGGGTTCACACTCCCAAAGTCCTTGCTATCACGCCCCAAAACAGGGTATTCCTCAGCAATTCTCTCCGGCCACTCTCTGGCCATGAAGGGTCCCAGGCAGAGAACTGGCTCACAGGAAACTCCTCTCACCAAAAGATAGATCTAGTAGCAGGCAAGGACTGAGACCAAGTCAAAGCTTAGGTCTGCTCCATCAGCTACCAGAGATCCAGGGACATTTAGAAGCCTCAAGGAGTGTACTATTTGACCGATGTGGACCATCTGTGCAATGCCATAGTAGCCTGTCACAGGGACTGTTCATGGGCCAAAGTCAAGCTTATGGTTGGCCACTCTACCCAGGGCAGCCTTGGGAGGGCTCTCCGTGTCTATCTCAGGTGCATGCTCAGAACACCACCATGGAGTGGCCACGGTGTGCCGTACTTTATAGGTGTTTGGGTGTGTGCACTGGGCCCAAGGGCTGAAGGTGTGCCCACCTCAGGGAAGAACCTGAGCACGGCCCTTCCTATACGGCCACAGGTGCAACTCTGGATACATAGGGGAAAACTGTGAGTGCCAGACACAGGGCCAGAGCAGCCAGGAACTGCAGAGAAGCTGCCGCAAAGACAACAGCTCCATCGTGTGCTCGGGACTGGGGGACTGCATCTGTGGGCGGTGTGAGTGCCACACCAGTGACATCGCCAACAAAGTGATCTTCGGGCGGTACTGCGAGTGTGACAACACCAACTGCGAAAGATACGAAGGCCAAGTCTGCGGTGGCCCACGTGAGTGACAAGGGCCGCCGGAAATGGGAGGTGGGCTTTCTTCTCAGTTTGCGCCAGAAGACGTTGAATGGGACACTGGGACCGATGAACAGATGATTGCTAGTCTTGCCAAGCTACACAGCAGCAACAAGGCTTCTTCCATGGGCAGGCCTTCCATGTCTGTGAGGGTCAGCCATTGTCTCTGGAAAACAACAGAAGTAACAGTCCTGACCCAAAGGCTATTCAAACAGGATGTGGAGGACCAGTCTGGCTGAAAGGCGGATGTGTTGCTGGAGGGGTGGGGAACCTCCCTGGTCCCTGTGTCTTTGCCCAGTTGTCCTTCCCTGGTGTTGTAGGGCTGGGTGAGAAGGTAATGATAGGAGCAGGCAGCAAGGAGGTTGTAAGTACAGTCCTCCCTGGCAGGCACTATCGGCAAGGGCCCAGGGAGGTGGGAGAGTGGTTCCTAGTTCTCACCCACCTCCAGGAAGGTGAGTTGCGTGACCTCGACTGTTTTCCAGAGAGGGGCTCCTGCTCCTGTGACCAGTGTGTTTGCAAGGAAGGCTATGAGGGCTCAGCCTGCCAGTGTCGGAGGTCCACTGAGGGCTGTCTGAGCAAAAACCTGGTGGTGTGCAATGGCCATGGCCAATGCCGCTGCAACCGTTGTGAGTGTGACCCCGGCTACCAACCACCGCTGTGTGAGGAGAGCTCAGGTGCTTTCTCGCGCTGCCACAAGTACATGTGAGTGTACCAACCACCCACACTGCCCTCACAGCTAGGCCACCAGGGAGTCCCCCAGGGGTGCCACTACACCATAGTTCTCAGCAAGATCCAGCAGACCCAGCAGGAGGTGTCATTTTGAGGAGGTCTGTACCTCCCTTGGATCCAATTTCCACTGGCTCTACCCTTGGGTCTCTTCCCAGGATCACAATCTGTTCCATCCTCATTTACACCACTGTGCTGACCTCTAAGGGCACCTGGGATTCTCACTACAGGACCAGCTTGTATGTGGAATACCCTCACATATTACGCTCTGTGAATCTTGACACTCCCGCGTTCCCCAAGACACCTGCTCGTCCTTGCGTATCTGTACACCCTAATTATTAGGGCACCCTTACATAGCAGTCTACGCTCACACAGTAATACACCTTGGCATCCCTGTGAAACCTTGCACAGCTGGACAAACTGATCCACCAGTGCACCCTGACACACCACTTCACACTCACATAACACGCATCTTGACAAACTCACACAGCCTTGCACACGGTACTCTCTCATTCACCAGTGCTCCCCAACATACAAGTACACTTCGTGCACCCTGACACACACACACACACACACACACACACACACACACACAGCCTTACACATCAGTATACCCTTATTGGCTGGGACATGCTCACACACCAGTATGCACTCACTCACCATTCACCCTGACACACCCATGCAGCCTGACACCTGTGATGTCTCGTACAATTGTACATCCTGACACACTCATGCATCTTTGCATAATGCTGCGCCCCAACACACTTGTGTACCCTCACACAGTGTGCACCTTGCTCATCCTTGTGCCCTTGGACACTCCCTCACCACCCCATTCCATCAAACTCATTTCCAACTTCTCCTCAGCTCCTGTGCCAAGTGCTTAAAACTCAGCAATGGAATACGTTTCTTCTGGGAGTGTATGGATCTGTTGAGTTCAGAATTTCATCGCAAGAACTGCAGTGAACAGGATGCGGAGGGCTGCTGGACAACCTACACTGTGCGCCAGCGAGACCGGAGAAGCATCTATTCCATCTACGTAGAGGAGAGCCGAGGTAAGGCCAGACAGTGCCCAGATCTGGTGAGGTAGGACGTGGTGACAAGAACTCTATCCCAGGAGCCTCTGCAGATAGCAAGAGAGCTGCAAAGGGAAGGGTCTCTCTCCAGTGGGCAAGGATACTCAGTAGCAGAAGGAGAACTATCCAGGATATCTGGGCAGGGGAGCAGTACCCTCACCTGCCCCTGCACCAAGAGATGGTTGACAGACAAGTACCTCTGATGGTAGCTGCAGTCCGTGTTAAGCATGGAACCATGGAAGCACCACTCCTTACAGTGGGAGCGTCTCCCGTTTGATGGGAGGGCCCCAAGGACTGGTACCGGTTAGCTGTTTCAGGATACCTATCAGAAGTCTCAAAGAAATGGAGATGCTGCTGCCCCTCAAGCCCTCCTTGCCCCCACACAGCTCAAGTCCTGGACAATAATATCTGTGAATGGAAGATTCTGACCTAGTCTTTGTGGGGTCCATGGCATGGTCCTGTCAGGCAACGTCCAGCACAGTGTGAGGCTGCAACTACAGTTAAAATGACACAAGACCATGTGGTGAGGGGCCCATTCTCCTGGAAGGAAAAATGAGATCACTGAGACAAGGAGACCCAATAGGTCGGCGGTCATGACAGTCATCAGCCCAAGGGCACCACACATCCTCTACAGGTACAAGTTTGTTCCTGAGCATGCCCAAAAGCTATGAGAAGTTCCCAGAAGAAAAAGGGCAGTACTCACATTGTCTTTTTTTAAAAATCTCATCTCATCAACACAGAACTGTTGAGGGTCATATTGGACACAGTACTGTAAGAGGTCAGGGTGAACATGGTCCTCTCGGTGACCAAACAGACCCAGCACTATCAGAAATCAAGGTGCAGATAGTCCTGTCAGGGACCATATTGATACAATTCTAGCAAGAGCTGGGTTAACCCACACCTATCGGGGACCAGGTAGATATAATAGTGATATCAGGAAATAATCATCTCAGTGTATAAAGTGGTTGCTCCCTTGTCAGGGATACTGATACTGTCCAGTCATCAATACAGGTGTGCCTATACTGCCTGGGACCAAGTGGACATGGTCCTATCTTGAGCTTAGATAGGCATGATCCTCCCAAATATTGCTGTCCTGGTCAGGACTAAGACTGGAGGAGGGCAGGTTGAGCTGGGTTGAGTCCAGAAGTAGTATGGACAGATACTACCCTTGGATGGAGATGGCAGAAGAGATAGAGGACTAAGTGATAGTTTGAAGGTCCAGGGTTCCCCAACAGATGAATGAGACACAGGGGGTTAGAGCGGTTCAGAGATGTGATGAGTGACAATGTCCAAAGATGTAGAAGATGGTGGATTTGGGCAGAAGGCAAGATGTCCTTTCAGGTCTTCAGTATGCAGCTCCAGAATTCTAGTTCCTCATCCCATTCATACTTAGCTGAAAGGACAAAGGCAGAGAGATCGCTTGAGCAACCACAAGAAATGTCGGCCAGCAGCACACTGGAACTCCTACAGGACAGAAACCTGGAGCCTACTGTTCTCCAACCCTTCTCAAGCTGAAACTCATGAGAGTAGGTGGGGCACAGACTCTGGGTGAGGACCTGTCCTCAGGCCATGATCATGGACTTCTCCTGGGGTCCGCATTCCCACTGTGCAGTAAGATGGCTTAGAATTCCTCAGGCATGTCCATAAATTTCTCTGTGAATAAAAGGCCAGGCCTAGTGGCCTTTAAGTATCATTTGGGACCATAAAGACTGGCCTTGCTTTCTGATGCTGACTGAGGCTGTGTTCTCTTGTGTACCCATGTTGTGTGGCAGACAGCAAGTCTCTGGAGTGGGACCCTTTGTAGAGTGGGTAACATGCAGAGGCTGTAGTCTTCTGGGTAGAGACTCACATAATTCAAGGCTTGTGCTTTTTCCTTAGAGTGTCCCAGCGTCACCACCATTGTGCTGAGCATTGCAGTGGGTGTCCTGCTGCTTGCTGTCCTCCTATTGGTCTTCTGGATAATCTACCTGAAGGAAACCCAGAAAGTCAAGCTTTCCAGAATGGTTGGGGTTGGGCGCACACTGGACCAGCGTAAGTGACTAGACTACATGATCCTGCACCCTGCTATGCTCTGTAACTTCTCACACTGTAGGTCATGGCTGATTCTGAAGGTTAGCAAACACCCTGCCTCAGCAGCTCAGCTGAGTGCACACTATAAAAGCTTTGCTGCAACGATTTAATTCGTGGGAAGACCCTTCACTTCTGCCTTGGTCCTCAAAGTGACATCTTTAAACTGACCTGGTAGCCTCCAAGAGAGCCCCAGAAGCCCTCCCCACACAAACAAAGTCATGTTTGTTTTCTCCCCCAGAAGAGCCTCATTTTCAAGAACAGCACCATAAGGAATCACCATGGTGGGATCAGGAGAGACAGGATACCTGATGAAGATAAGGCACCAGGACCAACCAGAAAGGACCCACCAACCACACCTCCATGCTATAACCAACCAGCAAATGGCTTATCCCCCAAATCACCAACACAAAAGCTGTCTTTATTTGTTCCCATAGCAACCAAGCTGCCAGGTCTTCAGTGGACTTCTTTCCAGGGACAGCCCCCTCTTCAATCATTCATAAAACTTTGAGAAAAAAATAAACTTCCTAAGTTTTAGGAGGCCAGGCACATGCTTTGTGTGTGAAAAGTAAGAAACCAGTTCAATTAAATGTAGGGCTAATTTACATGTTAAACATCTCTTTTGGGTGTGTATTCCTGTGTACATACATGTCAGGAGGTGACATTAGGTGCCTTTTTCCATTACTCTCTACCTTATTTTTTGAGACAAGGTCTTTCCTTGAACCTGAAGCTCACCAGTTGGTTAGACTGGCTAGCCAGTGAGTTCTAGGGTTCCCCCTTCCAAGAACTAGCCCAACTTTTATATTGTTTCTGGGACTACATGGGCAGGAAGATCATGATAACCAGAATATGAGGCAGCTGATCCCTTTGCATCTACAGTCAGGGATCAGAGAGAGATGAATGCTGGCATTCATACTTTCTCTCTTTTTATTTGGTCATGGACCCTCGCTCACCTATAGAATGGTGCTGCCCATGTCTGGGGTGACTCTTCCTACCTCAGTTATACCTGCTTGGAAATGCCCTTCAGAGTGTCTCCTAGGTGATTCCAAATCTAGTCAAGTTGGCAATCAAGATTAACCACCACAGGCTATAGCCATTCATCAACAGATGACTGTGGACCTTGGGCTTCTCAGCATCAATCATTCCAGGAGTTGACTTCCCCTTCCTTCCTTCCTTCCTTCCTTCTTCTCTTCTCTTCTCTTCTCTTCTCTTCTCTTCTCTTCTCTTCTCTTCTCTTCTCTTCTCTTTTCTTTTCTGTGTGGGCTTTCTCCCTTTTCTTATAAAGTGACCACAAGGATAGTGGAGGTTTCAATCTGATGACTTTGCCTAATCTAATAATTTTCCAAAAGCTCTGGTGTTAGCCACCACACTGAAATTAATCTTCTACCCTCTTCCTACCATTAACATATGGTTTGGAAGTATTAAGCCCCTGCAGGAGTTTTGGGAAACAAACCAGCTTCAAACCACATCTGCACACCCATTTCCACAAAAAACAAACAAACAAACAAAATAAATAAAAAGAAAAAAAAAACTCAGCTGGTTTTTAGGACCATCATCCATGAGCTGAGGAAGACTTGATGCCAGGGTAGGTACTCTCATGATATTTCCTTCTATCTCCGTTCTGCTTCACCTGTTCCTTGCTAGATCACTTGTCTACCATTTGGCCTTTCTTGGGGCCACCCTTTGCCCAATGTTGGGTTTTCCTTTTCTCTTCTTTTCATGTCATTCTTCTTGATGATCTCCAGAACCTTTCCCTTCCATAGTGAATCAGGGTAGAGTCAGCACCCAAAAAGTATTTCTCCAATATTCTCTGGATTCTTTATTTCACACATCATCTCTCTTCACTCATGAATTAGGCACTATAGAGAACCCAATGGCAAGTCCTTCTGGACTGCCAGCAAAATGTGTTCTTCCTGATAAATATCCTTAGTCTACTCTTGCCCACAGCTTCCTCTCTGAGTCAACCTTGGCATCCCAGGATATCTGTCCCCAAATTCCTGTCTTACCATGATTTTGTCCTAGATTTAAACAATCCTGAAAGAGACAATTTTCCAAAGACCTTAGTGCCCATCCCTCTGTCTTAGTCAGTGTTCTATGCTGTGAAGAAACACCTTGACCACACAACAACTCCCATAAAGGAAAACATTTAATTGGAGCTTGCTTACAATATTTAATAGTTAAGTCCATTATTGCTATGGCAGGAACACATGGTATGTGCTGGCAGTCATTGGCTGGAGCAGTAGCTGAGAGTTCTACATCCAGACCCACAGGCAGCAGGAAGAGAGAGCCACCAGACCTGGCTTGGGCCCTGGAAATCACAAAGCCCACCCATAGTGACACACTTTCTCCAACAGGGTCACACCTCCTAATCCTTCTAAGTAGTGTCAGTTCCTGATGACTAAGCATTCAAATGCATGAGCCTATGGGGGCCATTCTTATTCAAAGCACCACACCTCCCCAGAGTAGTCGGTCTCATTGCCCCACCCACAACCTTGCTACTAGGGCCTCCTTCTTAAAACAGCCATTTAAATGTGTGCATGGTGGCTCTCCATCATTCAGGGTCCTGCCGCTAATCTGTTCTGCATTTTAGACTTTTATATGACATAAATTCCTGATTTATTTCAAGATTTTACCCAGACAACTGCCATTGGGTTTATTTTAATGATAAAATGAAACCTCGAGAGTCTGCACCATGGCCAACTCTAGTTCATGCTCTTACCATCATGTGCTTGAAACTTTCAAGTTAGGAGTTGTACATTTTCCAGGGCAGAGAATGAGATTTTGCATTTTTCAGGTTTCCTCTGTGCCTGCTCCTGTGTGTCCTGAAGGAGGTAAATGAAAAACACCCCACATTTTTATTTTAAGTACCATTGGACTTGGGCTCAGGCCACCTACAGCAGTAGCTCTTACTAACACCGTGCATTGTGTTAATAACTCACGCACCCTCATGTCACCTTTCCTGCCTCACTTTCCCTACCTTGAGTCCTTACTTCCTGAAACAACCTTCTGTGTAGGAGAAGAAACTCACACCGTTACCCCATCAATTTTGCTACCGCTGGGTCACATAATCAGGACATTGGGTGATGAGGTAACTAACTTCAAGAGACAATTACGAATCTCTAATAAATTTTACTAATATCTTTAAAAGTCCCAGCCTGCACACAGGCTAACTATAGAGGGTATTTGAAAAGTCTATAGTCCACAGATCAGAGAAGCTACAGGTCAATCTGGCCCCTAAATACTAAAAAGGAAAAATTTAAAAATGCTGCAGGATCCCCTGTGGCTGCAGGGGCAGAAACGCTGCAGGCCCCCAAGCAATGGCAGGCAGCAGGCCATGTGGCAGCAGGCAGTGGGCAGGGGGTCCCGAAAGCAGCCAGTCCCAGGTAGGGACAGTGCACGAGACCACAAGGAGAGACAGAAAAATGGGAATCCCACAAGACCACACTGCAGGTCTCCCAATGTGGCTGGTCCTGGGCAGGGAGACACACAGCAGTGGGCAAGAGACAAAGACATGGATAGGCATGCCATACAGAGTAAGGTTGGATATTTATTTAGTGGGTTATAGAAGGGAAGAAGGAGGAGAAGGAGAGAAGAGCAGAGAGAGAGAGAGAGAGAGAGAGAGAGAGAGAGAGAGAGGAGCAGAGAGAGAGAGAGAATGAGAGAGGGGGGAAGGAGAGAAGTGGAGAGAGGCAGATCTCTTGAAGAGGGAGATGGAAAAGCTGAAAATCAGCTTGTCTCAGAGTGAGGAGAGAGTGGGCGTGGCTTATCTCTTAAAGAGACAGGACAGACCATTACAAATGTAAGTTCAATGAGATGTGATTATAAACTACAGTCAAGCTTAAAACACCAACAAAACCAACAACTTGGAAATTCTACACAGACAGGAATATTCTTTATGTCCCAAAGGAAGCTCTGACAAAGAGGGCTTTTGGCAACCTTGAAGCTTCCATGGAAATTCACTGAACAATGATACTGAAACATGTCAGTTTTTTATCAGGGTGATGCTTCTGAGGTACCAGAGAGACTATACCCCAAGAGTCAAGAGTTATGCAAGCCAAGAGTCTATGTCAAAGAGCCAATCACCTGATTGTAGATACCTATGGTTGGCTTTTTCTGAGCACAGTGCATTCAGGATGCTGTGCACAATGTCACAGGCAGGGTGGCTTAAGGAGCATTTTGTAGAGCATGCTATTCCTCTCTCCTCTGCTATTAATTTTTAATTTTTATATAACCTTCGCTTGCAGTATTCGTGGACTTGCAAGACGGAAACATATTTTATTGACGATTTCCACTGCTTTCTAAAATAGTGCGGATCATCTTGCCAGCAAACACTTAAGTCACGTGTCTTGGGTCATAAGATACATACTCAATAGTTGGAAAATATTTATAGGACTTGTGTGTGAATTTCTGTAACTTTTGAAAGTATTTCTGGTTTGGTTAGGGTTTCATTTTGTTTTTCTTTAATCACTTCTGTGTTTCCTGACACATGACAGGAGCAAGGATGAGTACTCAGAATCCCTGATAGGTTTACAGATACAAATTCATGATTCTGAATCATCGGATGGATGCTAGTGTTGAGCTGTGGCAGATAGCTTTGTAAGTATTTCAATGACAGAGTAGAGACAAATCCCCCATGTCCACAGATGACAGAGAAGCGAATTTATAAAGAAAAGACACAGCAAAGTTTGTATAATTATTTATGAAAAAACCTGTCATCTAGTCAAAGGCAGGGACTGGAAGAGGGTTGGCAGACCCCAAGGAGACCCCAGAGATGCTCAACATGACTTCCAATAGCTGCAGTTTACCAAGGGGCCAACAGTTCCTGCTGAGGCTCCTAACAAAGCCAAACCCAATTCCCAATCCCAAAGTGTTTTTTTTTTAATGTAGTTGCATTCATAGGTAATTTAACGTGTCTTACACTGTGACATTCTACACTTGTATACACAATGAGGTTTTTATGGTTATAAATAGGCTTATTGCCTTTGTAATGTTTGGGGGCATAGGAAGACTTTGCAGGTATTTCCAGGTGTTGTGGGGCATCAGAAGCTTCTTTTCAAGCAACGTGGAATCCTAGCACATGTTAATCATTGAGAAATCTGTCAGGTCTAGCAGTACAAACTTGCAGTCATGGCCACTGGGGGAGGCTGGGGCAGGAAGATTGCAAGTTGAAGCCCTATCTGGGTTATTGTGTGAGTTCAAGGCCACTGAGCGACTTAGTGAGACTATGTATCATACTAAAAAAGTCAAGGGGATTGGAGAGATGACTTGGAGATTAATGCTCTTGCTGCTCTTGCAGAGGACCTGAGTTTGGATCCCGGCTCCTTTATTGGGCAACTCACAGTCACCGATAGCTCCAGTTCCAAAGGATCTCATCCCCTTTTCTGGCCTCCATAGGCATCCATTGCAGCTGTATGGACACCACACACAGGCAGGCATATATATGGACAAATAAATAACAAAATAAATCGTTAAAGAAAAGTAAATAATAGAAAGTACAAAAGAGATAGGTGATTTATCTCAGAGGTCTAGTCTTGCCTAGTACGTGGAGTGTTTCCAGTGTCAGCTCCGGACAAGAAAGAAAGCGAGGGAGGGAAGAAAGAAGGAGGGGAGAAGG